CGCACAAAGCCAGACCCACCTCGCAAAAACAGTGACTCGGGATAAGGGGAAGAGCCCATCGAGGCCCCGCTAAACCCCAGAGCCATCGGACGCTGTTCAGAGGCCACGCAGCGCAAATGAGATAAGAGAGCACCACCTGGGAGGTGGCAGGGTGTCTTGAGGCCGACAAGCCAGAAATGCGCCTGCCCAGACACAGAGAGTTAGCGGCGCCGCAACCCGCTATAAAGTGGGCTGCAAGCGCAAAAGAGTTGCCGCAGGCGCAGGTCTTCGAACCCTAGAGTTCGGTGGTGTTGATTCACCATAAATCCCCCAAAGGGAGGAACAACCCCGCCCACAACGATTATCCGACACCCAAAGGGTCCCGGTTGAAGCCAAACGCCGTAGGGTTGTACTTCATATATGATGCAATATCCCCGAGGAAACAGGGATAGTGTACAGAATATCGATCGCGACAGCAAAAGAGGATGTGCTGGTGAGACTGCAAAGCAGCCCCGCAAGTGCAGCCATGAGGCTCATTAATCTTGAAGCAATGGTAGTACGCTCCAATGGGCATGTGGCCAGTTATGCACTGGCAAACGCGAGTGAACTCAGTGATACTGTGTCTAAAGGTTGAAAGCCAAGGTCCCCCATTGAGGTACAATGGCTGTAATGGCCGCCCATCAGGCTGTTGAAGCTCTAAAAATTCAGAGCCCCAGTAAGTTGGATCCTGGAAAGTGGAGCTCCACGAATCCAGGACTGAGTGCGCAGCTCGAGAGCAAAGCACGTCTATAGAATTGTCCGTCTTCCGATGTCCAACCCTGACTTTAAGCTCGGTGACGTACTTGTGTGCCTCACCATGGATATCCCACCACAGAGCGGACGGAACGTAGACGAAGGTGATGTGGCGGAGGTCATCCGCTTTGAACCACTCTTGGAGAGCGCGACAAACTGACAAGCTAAAAGCCTGACCAGAATGCATGGAAGGGTCGACCACTCTATGGGCCGAGCCCATAGAGTCAGTAAAGACCGTAATATGTTGGCAGTTTGCCTGCTTGACAGCAAGGCGCACTGCACAAGAGATGGCATTGAGTTCCCAAATGGTGCGCATTAAGGAAGGGGAAGTTCTCTGCATGATCGCCTATGTTTCAATTAGGCTCTCCCGCTATCGTCCCACCATGCGTCGCAACATCATCGACCGTCGCAACATCCTTGTCCTCTCCCTCTTCAGTGGGGGTGAAGTTCTCAACCTAATGAACATCTACTCTGATGATCAGCACACAGCCATTGAGCACCTTGCTGCTTGTGTGCATTCTCTACCACCTTTCATTTATATGGCTGGTGATTTCAATTGCGTTTTGATGACTTGGGATGACTATGAGCATGGCGAGTCATCAACAGCAATATCCCTGCGGGACACTGCATCTCAGATCGGCCTCGAGTGGGCACGACCTTCTAACCACAGACCGACTAGGATCAGTCCCAATCCATATCAGAGATCCAATCTGTTGGATCTTGTATTCTTAGCTCCATCTGAGATCTTGATCTCGATGCCCAGATTGGAGCACAATTTCCAGGGTCCATCAGATCATGTCCCGATCTGCACAGATCTTGATATCGGTCCTGAACTGCCTGGATCTGGGCGACGGACAATTAAACCCAGAAGCGAGGCTGAAAAGTCTTTCATTTCAGATATTCTCCGGGACCTTGCAGCTATTCCTGTCACAGCCCCGGCAACCAAGGAAGGCGTTGAAGCTTTAGCCGATGCTATTGCAACGGCGTTATCAGACGCATGGCTTGCCCATTCGACCAAGTCCAAACCTACCAAGCGCTCCAAGTCCTGGTGGACGGACGAGTGCTTGGAGACATTCGGAGTATATCAGCTGAGCCGCTCGCTCGCTGATTACAACAAATTCAAGAAGGTGTGTAAGGACGCCAAGCGTGACTTCTTCAATGAACGCATCACAGAGATCGCTACTTCCCACAAGCGCCCGTGGGACCTAATGGAATGGGTCAAGCAGTGCAAGCTACCACCCTGTGAGGCTATTCGCAATGGCGACCAGTCTTGTCATGATATGGACGACCTTTGGGATGCCCTACACAGCACGTACAACTCGGCCTCAGGTCGTGAGTATGATGCCTCTGTTCTAGACGAGCTTCCCGATGAGCTGGTCCACAAGTGGGCTGACATTTCAGCATGAGTTGTTGAGCGCCCTTAAGGGGTGCTCTAACTCCTCTGCACCAGGACCAGACCATGTTACATGGGTCCACCTAAAGGAGTTGCTCAAGGATAAACATGTCCTTGCACTCTTCATTGTGCTGGCCAATGCTTGCCTTCGGGTGGGACATTGGCTGCATATATTCAAGGAGTCGCTGTTGGTTATTGTTCCGAAGCCAAACAAGCCCTCCTATGCAGTCCCAAAGGCCTTCAGGCCTATAGTACTCCTCATCACTTTCAGTAAACTTATTGAAAAGATGATAGCCAATAGGATACAGTTTGACGCTGTCAAACATGATATCTTTCATCCAAACCAACTTGGCAGTATCCGCCAGAGGTCCACTGAGGACGCTGGATTGATTCTGACTCATCTCGTGCGAGTGGGGTGGGTTAAGGGTCTCCAGAGTAGCACGCTGGCTTTTGACATCACACAGTTCTTCCCTTCTATCAACCATGAGATGTTCATGGCTGTCCTGCACAAGCAAGGGTTTTCGCCAATATTGGTGGATTTCTTTGCTTCTTACCTTGTTGGGCACTCCACAGTCTACTGTTGGAACACCTTCCAATCTGACTTGCGGTCTGCAGACGTGGGTGTCAGGCAGGGCTCTGCTCTCTCACCTGTTATCTCAGGACTCTTCATTGCTCTGGTGATGAAGCTCTTCTACATTAAGGCAGCGCTGCTCAACATGATGCTACTCTCCTTTGTGGATGATGGGACCATTTTGGCCCAATCCAAACAACTCGATAATAATAATGTAGGCCTGTGTAAGGCCTACAAAATTATCTACCTTCTCTTTGTTGCATTCGCACTGGTTCTTGAACACGACAAGACCGAGTTGTTTCACTTTTCGTGTCGACGAGACGCCTATAATCCCTCGCTGGATTTGGGGTATGCCCCACATACCGGCACTACACCTTTGAAGCCCAAGACCTATTGGAGGTAGTTGGGCTTCTACTTTGACTACGGGCTCACATTCCATGAGCATGTTCGCTACAATACCACCAAGGCGTTCACCACTGTGCAGGCCATGCGCATGCTCGGAAACTCCACCAGAGGACTTTCGCCTAAGCAGCAACACCTCCTTTATAGATCGTGCGTGGTTCCCATTGCCACGTACCATTATCATCTCTGGTACTTTGATGGTGCCTGTAACAAGGGTGCCATGAACCAGCTCAAATGGATGCAGTGGAAAGCTGCTCTTTGGATTATGGGTGCATTCCGCACCTCACCCACAGGCAGCCTTGAGGCCTTGGCAGGTCTCATCCCCGTTCATCTCATGCTGAAGAAGCTTGTGATGCATGCAGTGTATCGTGTCGCTACCCTTTCAGACACTCACCCCCTTCACTCCATGATGGGCAAGAGACTTCTCTGATGGCCTGAACCTCATGCCCACTCTGCTGCCTTGATGACCCCAGCTATGCGAGGGAAAGTCAAGAGCACCATTATGGAGGTGGACGAGCATGTCCACACCTTAACTGAGAGCTTTGAGCCATTTGCACCTGAAGCTCGCCCAGGCGATCGGTTACTGGACTGCTTTGTGGATGGTCTCCATTTTGACGAGTGTGATCCTACCCAGGATAGGCGCCCATATCTTGACGAGCTCATTGTGAAAGCGAGGGCTGACCCTTTAACAGTACTGGCTGCAACTGATGGCTCTGTCCCTCAGTCCAACCAGTATCAGGCTGCTTCAGCTGCCATCATCTACAAGGGACATTGTGAGCTCGAAAGGACTTGCTATGTCTCTGGCAGAGTCACCGCCCCTGATGCGGAACTCAATGCCATCTCGTGTGCAGTGCGCCTTGCTGTCTTGCTGTCAAGCAGACAAACTGCCAGCATATTATGGTCTTCACTGACTCTATGGGCTTGGCCCACAGAGCGGTAGACCCTTCCGTTCACTCTGGTCAGGCTTTTAGTCTGTCAGTCTGTCGTGCTCTCCAGGAGTGGTTCGAGGCGGATGATCTCTGCCGCATCACCTTCATTTATGTTCCGTCCACTCTTCGGTGGGACATCCATGGTGAGACACATAAATATGTCACTGAGCTTAAGGTCAGGGTTGGACGTTGCAAGACGGACAACTCCATAGACGCACTCCGCTCTCAAGCTGTGCACTCAGTCCTGGACTCGTGGAGTTCCACTTTCCAGGATCCAGCTTATCACAGCTCTGAATTTCTAGAGCTTCAATGGCCTGACAGGTGGCTGATCCAGCCATCCTACCTCAATGGGGGACCTGGGCTTTCATATTTCAGACACAGTATCACTGAGTTTGCTCATTTTTTTTTTTTTTTTTTTTTTTTTTATCAACAATTTATATAGCGGTGCTCGATGGCAGCCCGCTCGCTACCTACAAACATGTACACTACGCAGCCTGGGTACTAAGTAAACTACTAAAAGACGTCTGCCCCCCCAACCACGAGCCTTGCACTCAAATGCCGGAGCTCGCACAAAGCCAGACCCACCTCGCAAAAACAGTGACTCGGGATAAGGGGAAGAGCCCATCGAGGCCCCGCTAAACCCCAGAGCCGTCGGACGCTGTTCGGAGGCCACGCAGCGCAAATGAGATAAGAGAGCACCACCTGGGAGGTGGCAGGGTGTCTTGAGGCCGACAAGCCAGAAATGCGCCTGCCCAGACACAGAGAGTTAGCGGCGCCGCAACCCGCTATAAAGTGGGCTGCAAGCGCAAAAGAGTTGCCGCAGGCGCAGGTCTTCGAACCCTAGAGTTCGGTGGTGTTGATTCACCATAAATCCCCCGAAGGGAGGAACCACCCCGCCCACAACGATTATCGGACACCCAAAGGGTCCTGGGTGAAGCCAAACGCCGTAGGGTTGTACTTCATGAAAGACGCAATATCCCCAAGAAAGCGGGGGTAATGCATGGAGTAGCAATCGCGACAGTGAACGAGGACGTGCTGGCGAGACTGCAAAGCAGCCCCGCAAGTGCAGCCATGAGGCTCATTGATCTTGAAGCGACGATAATACACTCCAATGGGCGTGTGGCCAGTTATACACCAGCAAACGCGAGCAAACTCAGTGATACTGTGTCCGAAGGTTGAAAGCCAAGGTCCCCCATTGAGGTACGATGGCTGTAGCGGCCGCCCGTCAGGCTGTTGAAGTTCTAGGAATTCAGAGCCTCGGTAGGTTGGATCTTGGAAAGTGGAACCCCACGAATCCAGGACTGAGTGCGCAGCTTGAGAGTGGAGCGCGTCTATCGAATTGTCCATCTTACAACCTCCAACCCTGACTTTGAGTTCGGTGACGTACTTGTGTGCTTCACCATGGATATCCCACCGCAGAGCGGATGGGACGTAGACGAAGGTAATGCGGCGGAAATCATCTGCCTCAAACCACTCTTGAAGAGCGTGACAAACTGACAGGCTAAAAGCCTGACCAGAATGCACGCCGGGGTCGACCGCTCTATGGGCTGAGCCCATAGAGTCAGTAAAGACCATAATATGTTGGCAGTTTGCCTGCTTGACAGCAAGGCGCACTGCACATGAGATGGCATTGAGTTCCGCATCTGGGGCAGTAACTCTGCCAGAGACATAGCGAGTCCTCTTGAGCTCGCGATGTCCCTTGTAGATTATGGCAGCCGAAGCCGCCTGATACTGGTTGGACTGAGGGACGGAGCCGTCAGTCGCAGCCAGCACTGTTAGTGGGTCGGCCCTCGCTCTCGCGATGAGCTCGTCTAGATATGGGCGCCTATCCTGGCCAGGATCGTGCTCGTCAAAATGGAGACGGTCCGCATAGCAGTCCAGTAACCGATCACCTGGGCGAGCTTCGGGCGCAAAGGGCTCAAAGCTCTCAGTTAAGGTGTGGACACGCTCGTCCACTTCCATGACAGTGCTCTTGACTTTCCCTCGCATGGCTGGGGTCATCAAGGCGGCAGAGCGAGCGTGTGGTGCGGCTCGCTTAAGAAGTCCCTCGCCCATCATAGAGCGGAGAGGGTGAGTGTCTGAGAGGGTGGCGACGCGATACACTGCACGTGTTGCCAGCTTCTTCAGCATAAGATGGACAGGGATGAGGCCTGCTAGAGCCTCAAGACCGCCTGTAGGTGAGGTGCGGAAAGCACCCGTGATCCATAGAGCAGCTTTACGCTGCATCCGTTTCAACTGGTTCATCGCACCCTTATTGCGGGCGCCATCAAAATACCAGAGACGATAGCCGTATGTGGCAATGGGAACCACACACGACCTATATAAGAGGCGGCGCTGTTTAGGCGAGAGACCTCTAGTAGAGTTTCCGAGCATGCGCATGGCCTGCACGGTGGTAAACGCCTTGGTGGCGTAGTATCGAACGTGCTCATGGAACGTGAGCCCACGGTCAAAGTAGAAGCCCAAGTATCTCCAATAGGTCTTGGGCTTTAAAGGTGTAGCGCCGGTATGAGGGGCGTACCCCAGATCCAGCGAGGGATTATAGGCATCTCGTCGATGCGAAAAGTGGAACAACTCGGTCTTGTCATGTTCAAGAACGAGCGACTGAGTTTGCTCATGTCTGCCAGTGTTTAACTGGCCATGCACCCATTGGAGCATATTACTGTCGCTTCAAGATCAATGAGCCTCATGGCTGCACCTGCAGGGCTGCTTTGCAGTCTCGCCAGCACATCCTCTTTCGCTGCCACGATAGATATTCTGTACACTATCCCCATTTCTTGGGGATATTGCATCATTTTTGAAGCACAACCCTATGGTGTTTGGCTTCAACTGGGACCCATCTGGTGTCAGATGATCGCTGCATGCGGGGTTATTCTTCCTTTTGGAGGATTTATTGGTGAATTGACACCCTCGAACCCTAGGGTTTGGAGACCTACACCCACAACTATTATTTCGTGCAGGCGGTCAATCTCTTTGGTCAATTGCGGCACCGCTGACTTTCTGTGTCTGGTTTCGGGCAGGCGCATCTTTGGCTTGTCAGCCTCAAGACACCCTGCCACCTCCTGGGTGGTGCCGTTCTTATTTTCATTTGCACTGTGTGGCCCCCGAACAGTGTCCAATGACCATGGGGC